CAGCCCACCAGGGGGCAGGGCTGGCTGGCATGTGGTGCTGGGGGATCAAACCGCGGTCCCTGATGCTTTTGCTAAGCTTGTTCTAAGTAGGTGCCCTAGACCACTGAGCCATCTCTCCAGCCCCTTTCAGTTTTAATTCTAATAAATATTAAATCAATAGGAGAAAAAAATACTTGGAGGTCTCCCATAATTTGTTATAATGTAAAGGGGTTGAGATCTGCAGTACCAATCTCAACAGTGAAGCGCTTCAGGCGTTCACTTCAGGCGACTCTATGACATCGCCACAGCAATTTTCCAGCTGAGCTTGAGTCACCCAGGTGTTTTGTAACAAGGTTTTGGAAGGTAGGCTTCTTATTATTCATCCAGGGATGATATCCTCCTGGCCCCAAAAGCAGCCAGAAAATCCTTAAAATCACCCACAAACATTTGGTGAACTGAATCCTCCAGAGGGAAAGAAGGGTTTCTCATCTCTCGACCCAGAGGGCAAAGGTGGCTTGAGGAAGCCACACTCAGCTTCAGCACCCACACCCCCACAGAGCCTGCTTCGGGGCAGGGGTGCTGGTGGCGGTTCACTCAAGGTACAAGCAGATAGTTCCCAAGAGTCACGTATAGAAAGAAAAATTCGAAAATGAACTTGTCAGAGCTCGGAGGAGAGGTGCAAGGTGTCAGGAGGGGTTTGAGGTAGGCTGGTCCCGAGAGCTCAGGAGTTAAGGGCCCAGGCCAACTCTCCTCGCCCATCTCGGGTCAGGATCCTGTCCTCCTGCCCCCAGCCCCGTGCCCACTCCGGTCCTGGCCCAAGGAACCGCAGTCCCTGGGGGGCCCGGGAGCTGGACGAACTGTCTCCTCCAGCCATCACCTCTAGTCTTGCCCTCACCTCCTGTCTACGCTAAACAGAATCAGCGCCAGAGCCTGCGGTTGTTTAGAGATAGAGATTTGGTGTTTTGTTACTCCGGGACACTGTCTGTCTCTCGGGAAACGAACACAACGCTGAAGCTGGCGTTTGCGGAAACAGCCAGCAGCCAAGAATGGCTGGAGGGGAGAAAGGTTTCAGAGGTGGAGAAAGACGGAGAAAGCGCAGAAAGGACGCTGCAGGAGCCCGCAGGAACCCTGCACCCGAGCTCTGCTGTCGCGCTCCCCCGCGGCGCCCCCTCCATCCGGGGACCTGCAGATTTAGGGCGGGACGGGGGTACGGAGATGGGGTCTTTTCAGACAAAATCAGACAGGCGAGCACTGAGGTCCGGGAACTGTTGCAGAGGCGGGAAAACTTGAATTCTGCAACCAAGAGTTGTAGCCAGACTCTTAAAACAACGCCAAAGGATGGCTGAGGGACATCCCAAAGTGGACACCGGTCTGGAAGCCAGCAGCTCCAGCAGCGTCACGGGAACCGAGCGGGTTGCCTACTCGCGGACGTTACTAGCGCGCCGTAGGCAGCACTGAGAGCTGAGCAACACGACAGCCGCTCGCGCGTGCGCAAGCAATCCGCCCGCCACAGCCCCGCCGCAGGTGCGCTCGCGCTTCCGGCCGGCCTCCCCGCACGGCCACCTCTGGGCGGAAACTCCAGTGTCAGCGCATGCGCCTTCCAGCTCTCTAGCTAGGTCCGGAGAGGAGGTCCAGGGCTTCAGGTGATCCCGCCCCTCCCTCGTAGGGCGGGACCAATGGCGCGGCGGTAGGCGGGGTTTCAGCTAAAGAAGCCCGCCTATGCACCGCGAGGGCCGTGTGTTGATTGGCTGGCTCCGTAGGCGCAGGTGCGCGCTTCCTATTGGGTGTGGGTGGAGCGCGAGCTGCCGAGGCCGCTTCGAGGCTGCAGGTGAGCGCGCGCACGCGCTGCGGCTCCGGCCGGGCTCGGGGACGCGCGCGCGGGCTCGCGGAGGAGGCGGCAGATAGCAAGGCTGCGGCGCCTGTAGCTGCTGCTCCGCCCTCTCCGCCGGGGCTGCCGCCGCCGCCCCCCCAGGCTCCGAGGGAGGGAGCCGTGTCCCCGCCCGCCGAGCCGCCAGTCCGACCCTCGGTCCCGCCGCGTGAGCACTCGCCCAGCGAAACTCAGCGCCGACGCCGCCTCGGCAGGTGCCCGTGACGAGGCGCCCGGGCCGCGGCTACTCTCCGAACCCAGCGGCGGCGCACTCGCTGCCCGCGCTCCAGAGGGCCAGCCGGGGAGGCCGCCGCGGGCCCGGCGCTCAGCATGAACCGCGGCCACAGGCACGGCGCGGGGAGCGGCTGCCTGGGCACCATGGAGGTGAAGAGCAAGGTGCGCGGGGCGGAGCGGCGGCCTGGGAGGACCGAGCGCGGGGCTCGCTGCAGGGGGGCGGCGCGCAAGCTTGAGCGGCCCCTGACCCAGGAGAATACTTAATTTCATTCTTTGAACCGCTTTCTGGTTTTCAAGGGAGGGAGCGAGGGCCAAGTGCACCCAAGGATGAGGAGCCTTTGAAGGCAAAGTGGGACAAAAGGTTTCGGGGAGTTCTGTGTGCTTGGCTCTTGCCCCCTCCCCCCTTGTCATATAATTTCTCCCCTTTCTGTGGTTCGGGGTGCACCGAATTGTGAAGGAGAGCCCCGTAAGCTGAGCAGCCCTCCTAAAGTTAGCTTTGCTTCCTGCTAGGGCTTTTCCCACCTAACTTTGGAATGCATTTAATCTATAAAATTGGCCCTATCACCTTACGTCGGAGGAGCACTTTCCAGTTGGAATCGATGCTCTTTTCTTTCCGTCTGGCTACCTTTTCATACGAAGTGCTTTCACCCTTGACCACCGGCGTGCCAGTCTGCTTGATAATTACTCCGGTAGCCACTGAATTCCTACATCGCAAGGCTGGGTGAGCAGAACAGTCTGGGGAGATTAGTTAGGGAATGCTTTCCAAAAGGCTGTTTTCAGCCAGAATTTGCAGGTGATAGGCAGCCGCGGCAACATTTTCAGCAAGCGTTTCTCGAGTTAAAAGAGCCCGAAGGAGCTTAGACAGTGTAGTGTGCTTCTCTGAGAAGTCCGAGATGAGAAGACGGGCCCAGAAAGATTGTGACTTTCCTGAGCTCTGCGTTGTAATTCTTCACTAAAGCCTTTTTGCCCAATAGCTTTTTACATACCGTAGAACACAAGTCAGATCACTGGTTGGGCCTGAGACTATTCAAGATAGAGTTGAGAAGGCCAGAATACATGAAAGGAGAGACATAAAAGCATATCAGCTTCAAAAATAATGAAGCATCATTGATCGGAAGATGACTAGGGAGAAGGAAGATTGAAGGGGAGAGTTGAGCGAAGGACAGTGGAGTAAAGAAAGCTTCCTGGAGCCCGGGTAGAATGGTGTCATTGTCTGTGGGGTTGATAAGCAAAGTTCTGTAAGTTTCTGAAACTGAGAATCACCTCAAGAAAGTCTGCAATCTCTAACGTCTTGTTTAAGCATTTTAGATTCCAGAATTTATCAGGATAGGCAGTGGTTTTAGAAGTGGATCTGTTTAACAGTAGAAACGTAAGTGTAGCAATTTAAGGAATAGTCCCCTCCCCCCCACGGGTCCTCTAACGTTCGCTATGTCCTGGGTCTTCAGGACATAGCGAACTGAAGCAAATTATAAGCAAATTGAAGTGACTTTCTTAACCGAAAGAGTTAAGAGGACTCAACACGTAAAGTTTTTTCTCTAGTAATATAGTGGTAGTCGTGTTTTCATGCCTGGTGATTGAACCTCCTCATAAAATTGCTGTTATAAGTCTAGTTTGGGTTTGTGGGAGTTGAGGTTAGGGGGAAAAACACTTGATACTGCATAATCCTGAAATTCAGTTTATACTCCCTAATCTTGGTAGTGAGTGTCTAATTTTTTGTCATAGGTAAGAAGAGTAGGCATTCTAGGTGCACTGATAAATACATTCAAATATGAGTTTCTGGAGCTGGGGAGATGGCTCAGTGGAATAAGCGCTTCCCTGGCAAGCGCAAGGGCCTGAGTTCAATCCCCGGTTCTACAAAAAAAAAAAAAAAAAAAAAAAAGTGTGAAATCAAATAAGAGTTTCTGACTAGCGTTAAGAAACCTGTAATGCTTGGGGACTGGAATAATGAGCTTTTTTGCCTTTCTTTTCTGTCTGTTGGTTTGTCTTTCTAATACGTCTAAAGTCCATGGTATTTCTTTGACCTGCTGCACTATTGGTGAACCTCCCCTGATAAAACCTAGACCATCGGTCGGTAGGTTGGTCAGTCGGTCGGAGAACGTGTGCTCAGTGAAATTTGGCCTCACCATTTTAGCTCTTGATAGCTTTTTGTTCATTTGATTGACTTTTTTTGTTGTTACTGCTGCTGTTGTCTTGATAAATTGCCACATCTGGCTCTAGCCTGGCATCCCGCTTCAGCCTCCCAGAGTGCTGGTGTTAAAAGTGCGTGCCACCACACCTGGCTATTTGGACAGGTTGTTTTTGTTTTTGTTTTGGTTCTGAGTATTAAATGCAGGGCCTCATGATGTTGGGCAACTGCTGTACCATTGAGCTATACCCTTAGCGCAGATGTTTTTGAGCAGATTTCTATTTATGCTATTTAGTGATATCGCAGTTTTTTTTATATATAAAAATGACCATTAAGAGGTCATAACCAAAACTAAGTAATGCATAGATCTGCATTTTAGGGTCTGTTTTTCTTCTGAATAGAAAACAATAGTCTGTGGTGTAGTATGGCTGTTTTATGTGTTTCAGATGATTTTTGGTCTGTTCATCTGGCTGTTACCTCTATTTAATTACCTTGAAAAAACTTAAAAACAAATCTGATGCTGGCAAAAACGTTTTTTCTGGGGTCGGGGAGATGGCTCAGTGGAATGAGTACTTCCCTGGCAAGCGCAAGGACCTGAGTTCAATCCCTGGTTCCGCAAAAAAAAAAAAAAAAAATGTTTTTTCTAAAAGCAGGTATGAGAGAAAGGGGAAAAAAAATTGAGATGTGCTATGTATGTGTACCAATTCCCCACAGTGAATATACTCAGTATGTCTTACAAATATATACTTTTTTTTTTTTTTTTGTCTTTTTGAGACAGGGTTTCACTGTGCAGCTCAGGCTGGCCTTGAACTCACTTTGTAGCCCAGACTACCCTCACACTTGTCTTTTTTATTTATTTTATGTGTGTGTGTGTGTGGCCAGCTCAGCCCACCAGGGGGCGGGCTGGCTGGCATGTGGTGCTGGGGGATTGAACTGTGGTCCCTGTGCTTTGCTAAGCTTGTTCTAAGTAGGTGCTTTAGACCACTGAGCCATCTCACCAGCCCCCCTCATACTTGTCTTGCTGAACTTGCTGTGATCCTCCTGCCTCAGCCTCTGGAGTGCTGGGTTTATAGACATACTCTACCACACCCAGCCCCCCCCCAAAAAAAATTAACTGACCAACAAAAAGTGAAACAGTAGTAATTTTTTAATTTTTCTAGGGAAGGTAAAAGTGGTAGGGATGATAAAAATAATGGGCAATGTAAATATAAATAGTTAAATTTGTGATATGAGCTCCCATGTGACTTTTTTGGTAACTAATTTATCTTCCTAATTGTTTCAGTAGAGTTGGGAAAGTTAGTAATGGTGATGTCCTTTAATAACCTTGGAACAGGGCTGAAGATACTATTTAGAGGTAGAGTGCTCACTTAGCCTTTGTAAGGCCTTGAGTTGCATTCTAAGTACCTCCAAAAAGTAAGTAAATAACCTTAGAATGTCTAGGCATGGCCATTGAGCAGCCGAGGCAGGAAGATGCCCTCGAGTTTGAGGCTAGTCTGAGCTGCATAGTGAGATCCTCTCTCAAAAAGCCTTTTAGAATCATTTTTTTGTTTTGTTTTTTAATCATTATTTATTTGTTTGGTACAGGGTCTCTCTACGCAGCTCAGACTCGTAGTGATCCTCCTGTCTCAGCCTCCTCAGCTCTGGGATTACAGGCATGTGGTACTATGCTGGTTTCTGTGGCCAGGCACAGCACACTTGGGGTTCTGTGGCTGGCATGGCATATGGTACCAGGGATCAAACCCAGGTTCTTGCACTTGCCAGGCAGGCGCTGAGCTATCTCCCTGCCTCTAGAATAGTTTTTTTTTTTTGCCGAACCGGGGATTGAACTCAGGCCCTTGCGCTTGCCAGGGAAGCACTTATTCTACTGAGCCATCTCCCCGGCCTAGAATAGTTTTTGAGCCCTCAAGTTTCTTGATTATTATTCATAGACAAATAGAATATTAAAATTAAGTTTGCATTTCTAGATTATACCAACATATCCTCAGGGAAAGAAGTCCTCACACATTCTTATATAGCTAGGATGAAGTAGACCAGACAAAAAACAAGTTGAAAATAGTTCATAGTAAATGATTGTTGATGGAATCTTAGGTTATCTGCTTCAGTGGCTGTGAACTTACAGCACACATGCTGGGTTTGTATCATAGAAAGCTCTGAAAGGTTCACCATCACTCATGTATAGTACGGTATTTTTGTTTGTGTAGGAAAAGTTCTCTTAATCGTATTGTTTTGCTGCAAGAAGCTTAACTGTTTCTCTTGGGTTGGCTTTTTCCCCCCTCTCCCTTGTCAGCATTTGCAGAAGGACACATCTCCCTTGAATCCATACAGTTTTCTATTGTTTTTGTCATAATAGGGAAGAGAAAAAAAAAAAAAATCATCCAAAGGCTTTCACAAGACATCCAAGCCATCAAGTGTCTTTAGCTGCTTTCTCCATTCATTGGTCAGGTGAAGTGACAGTGACTGAACAACACCAATCTCTGTTGTGATACCAGAATCAAGAAAGTGGAGGAGAAACTGTGACTTCGATAACATCGTGAGACTAAGTGATAGGCAGGGCGTTCCCCCTTATTTACTTTGAAACTTGAAGGTGTGACTGAACTTTTTGAGAGCTTTAGGTATGAGTCACCTTACTTTCTTGACAAAGGTTAGTGTTTATATTTCAGGAATGTGTTTTGGAAACTATTTTAATTATTTTTTTAGAGGTAAGAGGTGATCTGAGTAAGATTTTATGTTAATTTAAAGTGGGGTAGAGACAGGTAGATGGAGGTTTTACAAAGAGCAAACACCAATGCAGTGAATCCAGATAGCTCACAAGGCCTTTGGAAAAATGAATTGATAGCTAATTATTATGATAGGGACTTTCACAGCTTGATACTTACAGCTGCCCCAGGACAAATTAATATTTGCTGACAATAAGTATCTAGAGGAAAAATAGTTCAGTGGTCAAACATGTTTGGCAGACTCTGTGTGTGTGTGCGTGTGTGTGTGTGTGTGTGTGTGCATGCATGTGCATGTGTTGCTAGAGACTGAACCTAGGATCTTGCCCATACTAAACACATTTTATATCCTCAACTATACCCCCAACCTAATTTAAAAAAAAAAAAAAAGAATTCAATAGTTGGACTTGAGAACCCCACCGTACTTCACAATGGGGATAGTACATAAGGCCTGAGTGTGTCAGCTAAACACTAGTACTGGGCTACACTCCTAGCCATTTAACTGGACCTTTATTTTATTTATTTAGTACTGGGGGTTGAACCCAGGGCTGACCTATATTCCTCGCCATTTGAGACAGAGTCTCATTAAGTTAACGTGGCTGGAGTTCAATTTGTGATCATCCTGCTTTAGCCTCCCAGAGTCCTGGGATCATAAATGTGCACTGCCATGCTTGTCTTATTTTTGATATTTTGATCCAAGAGCTCGCTGCATAGCCCATGCTGCCCTCAATCTTACAGTCCTCCTGCCTCAGCTTCTCTCGTAACTGAGGTTAACTAAGGTGTGCCCCATCATACCCTACCCCAACCCTGCCTTTATTATGCTGGTCTCCACAGTGATCCCTAAGGGGCATTGAAGGTTACATACCATTCCCCAAATGTCTGAGACTGAGATGCTTTGAGGAAGGCTGATTCACTTCTCCTAGGAGTCCCTGTATGAGGGAGCACCAGCTGGTTCTAAAGTAAGTGATAGGTCCATGTACCAGGAGGAAGCCAGGCCTTAGTGTTGAGTAAGAGCCATTTTATTTTATTTTTTTGCAGAACTGGGGATTGAACTCAGGCCACTGCGCTTGCCAGGCAAGTGCTTATTCCATTGAACCATAGTAGGAGCCATTTTAGAGACCTGGGCTCGCTTGGGAGGGGGGATGTGGGGAGGAGACCTAAGAGTCAGGGCCAGGAAGATGGCACGCAGGCTGGATGGAGGGTGTCTTTCTCTGTGTCTGTGCAGTCCTCAGCGGCTCCCTGAAGTTGCTCCTTGCCTTCCCCATTAATTGGTAAGCTTCTGAAACAGGCCCAAGCCTTCTGCTCTCCAGGGCTTAGCACTGTGCCAAGCACATAAACACTTCTTGCTTAATTGGATCATTGTAGGACATACATTGATATATTAATAAAGCTTTTTTCTGCATTAACACAGAGAAGATGCCTATCACTTTAAAGCAATTTTTTTTTTTTTTTTTTTTTTTTTTTTTTTTAACACGCTCTTGCTGTGTAGACAGGCCAGCCTTAAGTTTGCTATATAGATCACACTGGGGGCTGGGGAGATGGCTCAGTAGAATAAGTACTTTCCTGGCAAGTGCAAGAGGCTGGAGTTCAATCCCCGGTTCCACAAAAAAAAAAAAAAAAAAAAAAAAAAATAGATCACACTGGACTTGCACTTGCAGTCCTTTCTCAAGTGCAGGGATTACAGCTGTGCACCACCATGCCCATACCCCTCCCTCTGTGTGTGTGTGTGTGTGTGTGTGTGCGTGCGTGCGTGCGTGTGCACTCGGGATTGGACCCAGGGCCTTCACACTGAGCTGCACCCCCTGCCCACCCCTCCTTTAGTCTTCCTAAATTGCCTGGTCCATTCTTTTTTTTTTTTTTTGCGCCAAATGCCTTCAAGGCATGACTGGCTGTCTTGTGTTGTGGGGATCAAACCACAGCAACCTGAGCCTGACTGCTTTGTTGAAGCAGCCACTTAAAGAACTGAGCTAAGGGGCAGGCCCCCGCCTGGTCCATTCTTGAATTTAATTGTTTTTGTGTTTGTTTGTTTTTGTACTGGGAATCAAACACAGGACATTGTGCTTGCCGGGCAGGCAATGTGCCACTGAGCTATATCCCTGCCCATGCTTGAATTTGTAATCCTCCTGCCTCAGCCTCCCAAGAGTGCAGGTGTATACCATCATGCCCAGGTTAGATCTACTTCTTATATGATGTACTCTGCCTGTATCATGCTTTTGTGCTATGGATTTCAAGGGCTTTTTTTTTTTTTTTTTTTAATGTATATTTCACTGTGGAGTCCTGGCACATCCCGTGGGATTGTAGTTCCCTTTATGAGAGGAAATGTAGACACTTTTTCTTGGTGGTCAGGGTAAAGACTGTGGTACCCCATCCCTGATGGAGGGAGTAGGAACCCAGGCTTCAAAGAGGGTTGAGCTGAGTCATTGTGCAGTCCCTGGTGATGAGTGGAACCTGCATCTCTTTATGGGGCACCCTTCATTCAGATCTGACAGTGAGGAAGCACATTCTTGCGCTGTTCTAAAGCTTGGTGCCTCCTGGTAACGAGGTTTCTGACAGCAGGCTATCTCTTTTATTAAAAGAAATATGGTTGTGTTTGTTTTTCTGTGGCATGCATTTTCAGATTGGATAGCTTTTTTAAAAAATATACGTTTGTAATATTTGTAGTTTGGAGCAGAATTTCGTCGATTTTCACTGGAAAGATCAAAACCTGGAAAATTTGAGGAGTTTTATGGATTACTGCAGCATGTTCATAAGATACCCAACGTCGATGTGCTGGTGGGCTACGCAGACATCCACGGAGACTTACTGCCTATAAATAACGACGATAATTACCACAAGGCGGTTTCAACAGCCAATCCACTGCTTAGGATTTTTATACAGAAGAAGGGTAAGTACCACTGTTTAGAAAAATTGTTTTAGAACAAGAAATAGTGTATTTTCTACCTTGATGGAAATGGACATCCTAACTCTTTACCAGAGGTGTGGTGTAAGCAGAGCAGGGCTTTCGGAAGAAGGCTCTACCTGCCCAGGAGGCAGAAGGTGGCGGTCTCACTGTAGAGAGGCAGGAGCGATGGCTGAGAACTGAGACCACCTGAGAGGCAGGGAAAGCGCAGTGGAGAGAGATAGGAGGGAAATGGTGGAGCCTGGCTCTCCCGCCTGCTGGTGTGCAGCAGAGAGGCCCAGCACACAGCTGTGTGGCTTCAAGCCTGGCAGCTGGGGCAGTGTCATAAACCAGCAGAGTTTGGAAGAACGATTGACTAGAGGAGGAGTCTGGTCTCACTACAGATGATCTCATCAGACCAGTTGAGTTGGAAATCTTATGCAAAAGATTGGAAATGGTAGGCTCATGTTTAGGGTGGAAACTAGAGCGAGTAGCGCAGAAGTCTGCAGAAATACGACAGTTACAGCCGGAGAGTGCATGTGTATGGACTGAGATGAAGACAGGGCAGACAGAGCCTTGGCAGCTGTGGGCAGAAATGGGCCGAGGGAGCGCAGCCCCGGAGCTGGAGGGCGTAGTGTGTGAATGGAGCTCAGCGCTGTGAGCAGACTAATTCAAGTCATTGAGCTTGAAAAATAGGCCTTTGTGTTTTGTTTTTTCTTGTCTTTTTGAGACTGGGTCTCACTCTGCAGATCAGGCTGGGCTTGAGCTCACTTTGCAGCCCATAGTTGAAGTCAAAATGATCCTCCTGCTTCAGCCTCCTGAGTGCTGGGATTACAGGTGCTTACCACCATACCCAGCTTCTTGAAATATTGAGAGATTAAAAATGTTCTTTTTTGTTGTTGTTCTTTTGGTTTTGAATGCAGTGCTAAAATATTCATAATAGTT